CAGGAACATTTTCCACCTCCAAAACCTTCCTGTGTTACAATGACAGCAATGACTGCTTGTTATAGGTTAGGAAGGGGGGCATTCATTCTATGTGGCACCCACTCCTCATCTCTCCCTACTCATGATAGTTGATGTCAGATCAATATGCATCTTAGCTGCTAGATATAACTTCAGCATCCCTGTGCATATGCTCCCCCCCCCTCCCCTATAATATACTCTTTCCCAAGTGGAAACCTGTCTCAGCTTACAAACCCCTCTCAGTGAATGGGGACAAATACAGTTTGCATTTTAAAAAGTTTCGAGAGGCCAGAAGTTTACTAGATGAAATATATGGTGAACTGGGCTGGGGCTCTTTTCTGATTATTTGTGACTCATATTAAATAGAGCAATAGCTATGCTGTGTTGTTATATTCTTCAAGCATCTATTTCTAATTCTAGAACCTGAATTAAAAGATTTTTTAAAAAACAATGATAATTATAGATAAATGGGTATGGCTTGCTCCCTAACTCATATCCTGGTCATCACTATCATCCACAATGCCCTTCTAAATATCCCTCTTGTAGAGAACAATGGCAACATTCATGGTGCATTTTTTGGTCTCATTTTCAGGACACAGACGGTTCCTTTGTGATTATTGGAGAGATTGTTCAGTGTGGTTTTTCAGACACTATGACATGCCTGAAGAATGTTTTAATCACGTTAGGAGCTATTGTAAGTTGCTGGTGAAACTATGTTTGCAAGCACTGTCTGTGTCTTATCAGATTACACTGCTGAAGAAATCTTATACTGGTTGTTTTCCTTAGGGTTGCCAACTGCCCGGGGAAAATGTCCTGTCCCTTTAACAGAAGTTTACTGGGATGGTATTTGCCAGATAATGTTATTTATTGCCACACCATGGAAAGTTTCAGCTTCCCGTTTCCACACATTAAGCTTCTATTAAAGGGACAGGAAATTTTTTCTCCAAGCTTGCTGGCAACCCTTATAAACCTTTATTTTAATGCAATAAGCTATTGACCAAGGTGCTCTAATTTCATGAAATGTTCATAAATATTGTAGTTCTTCAGTGGTGAACTCTCAGCACAACGTCCTAGGGCAAAATCTATGAGCTACTGAATAGAAATGGTACGAGTAGTGATGGGCACAAACCACATTTTTGCAGTTCATTTTGGTTCATGGTTCATGGCTGAACCACAAACTGATACGAACCAGGAGCCTGGTTCGCAAACCAAACTAGCTTGTATCAGTTCGTGACCCCCACTTTCTGCTCCCCATGAAAAGCCATGGAGCACAAAAAGCAGGGATTTAAATGACTCTGAGTTGTTTTGAAGGGAGCAGAAAGCAGGAGTTTAAATGGCTCTGAGCTATTTAAACCCCTGCTTTCTGCTCCTCATCACTTTTTGTGGAGAGCAGAAAGCAGGGGTTTCCCCAAGAAAAGCGGCAAGGAACATAAAGCAGGCTCGGAACCATTTAAACCCTTGTTTTCTGCTTCATGCCACTCAGCTGTTTTTCTTGAAGAGCCATTTAAGCCCCTGCTTTCTGCTCTTCATGAACTGCCACAAATCGTTCATCTAGAAATGAAAAGGTGGAAACTCTTCCAAAAAGTTTTTTTTAAGATTCTTAAAGTAATGCTGATTCTTAAAGTAATGCAATCCAAAATTGTCCGCAAGCACAAGCCCTTCTAGAGGACTGCTAAATTTGATACCATTGAGGTGTGAATTTGCTAAGAGGCCTTGGACTCCACTTAATATGAAATAGCATTTTGATTTGTGCATGGTCACTTGCCTCACTATACCCTTTGATGAAGGATTGTCTTTGAAACGGTCTTAATATTACATACAATACTGTCAGTGTATACTGGACAGTATTTTCTCTATGGGCTGGTATTGCCCCTAAGAGGGTTTGTGCTTGTGGACTATTTTGGATTGCACTACTTTAAGAATCCTCATTCTGTGGTTTATGTGACTCTATGATGTGCATTATATTCTTCTGATGTGCTGTATGTGTTTACGTATTCAGTATATTTAACATATTCCTATGAGTATTATTACTTGTCTTAAAATCTTTTTGGGAGAGTTTCCACCTTTTCATTTCTAGATTTACACTCTTCCTTTCCGGTTAGTTTTGCATGAATTGTTCATGGCAGCTCTTCAGTTCACAAACCATGAACTGGCCAAAATCCATCACAAACATTTGTTCATGAGCTCGTTTGTAACCATCCCGAGATATTCATTTCCAGTTGCTTTCTGGTTCCTCAGGAGTGTTTGTGTTACTTTCTGGTGGCTTTAATTGTTAGAAAAAAACTTTGGAGATCACCACATACTGTAATCGAATCACACATGACAGAGGTTGGGTCCAGGGTCTCTACCTTGTGTTCTGTGTAACAGTCACATGAGATTTGCAGATTCTCCTCAATTCCCCTCCATGTGGTACCCAATTCAGATGACTGTGGCATGCATAGAAAAGGAGCTTTACATGACCTGAAATGGTCCATGGGGGTGGTTTTTTGTCTGTTGGGGAACCCAAAAGCGTACACATGGGTTTTCCCGGATGGACAAATAGTGCCCTTCTGGGACTTTTGTTAATTGGAGAAACAGCACAGGGTGTGCATGGGGGAGGAGGCTTAATGTATTCATGCCTGAGGCTTAAGAGGAAGAGGAAGAGGTGATCTAGTTTGACTATTTGAGTGTTGCAGAAGAAATCAGCTAGAATGAAGATTTTTGTGAAATGGCGTGGATATCTGTTTATTTTAATTTATTTTATGTATCTCTTCTTTTCTTTGCAGAATATAAAAGTATGTGCCTGTGGAAATGTCTATATCAATAATGTTGTTGCTGTGTTGCCCTTAACTAAAGGTCATTATACAGTTTCATTCATAATTTCTAATGACTGATTCATACATACATATTCTGCTAGGATCTGATTGTACCTGGACATGTCTTTGTTGTTTTATTAGATGGCATCACCCTCTTCAGACCATCTACATTCTATGTGAACATTGTGACATCTTCACGAATACAAATTCAAGTGCAACTAAAACCTACTATGCAGGTCTTCATAATGATAGATGAAACTTATCATAATCGAACATCTGGTAATAGTACTTTGTCTTTTTTCTTTTTGTTTGTCTACTATAAGGGTTTTCAAATTTACTTGATTGTTGGGTCCACCTTGATTTTAAAGATCTGTGACTTAGATTTATTGTTGTTAAAACCTACTCAGTCATAGGATCCCTGGTTTTCATAATTTTATCTGGTGCCCTTTATTCTACTGCCACCTAAACAGTATATACTCTTTCAAAGGCCAAATGGGGCAATTTCGGGAGAAAAAGTGGTTTTGGGGACAGTTCACTGTAAGATTCATTGCAACCTTGACAGCATGTCTGATGCAGAAATCTGTGCCCGTGTGCTCCTGGGGCCGAATTGGAAACACACAGTCACAATCCAACGAGTTAGATAAATCTGTTTATTGCAATGAAACAGGAGATACAGGGCTGAGTACCTTTTGGCCCCCAGCGATGCTAAGCTGTATCCTCCCATAACCAGGAAGGGCAGAAGAAGGAGGAGGAGGAGGAGGAGGAGGAGGAGATTGGATTTATACCCTGCCCTTCACTACCCAGAGGAGTCTCAGAGCAGCTTACAAACTCCTTTCCCTTCCCCTCCCCACAACAGACACCCTGTGAGGTAGGTGGGGCTGAGAGAGCTCTGACAGAAACTGCTCTTTTTAAGAACAGCTCTTATCAGAACTACGGTGTGCCCAAAGTCATCCAGCCAGGTGCAAGTGGAGGAGTGGGGAATCAAACCCGGTTCTCCCAGATTAGAGTCCGCACACTTAACCACTACACCAAACTGGCTCTCAGGTCTTGTACCCCAAATGACATCACTCATAATTTACACATTAAAGGATCTCTAATTGGTACCAACAGGTAACATCGTGGACGCGTCATTTGACTCAGTACATCTCTCATTGTTGTCAATAATTACACTTGCTTATCTGGTCTTCAGAACAATGGGAAACATTGAGGAACACTAGGACCCTTTCTGGCCTTGTCGAAGCCAGCCTCCCTCCACCTGGCTTTGGGGTGCTGACTGATAAGGTTCAGTGTTTCATATTAAACTTAGTTCTTGGCAGACTTCCTGGTACCAGATGCTCCTGCTATGCAAAGAGAATAGATTGTTTAGGGAACACTTCCAGTAATAATTGTCCCTGTAGCTTCTAGATATGCATTCCATTCTACTGCTGTCTAATTCCATCTAAGAGGCCTCTAATAATAGTTCTTTCTAAGTATAACTTCTTATAAAGGAAATACAATTAGAGAATATATATATTCTACTATAGATTTCTCTCATCAGAAGTTTCTACGTTACATACCAAGATCTGAATCTACTGTGATTAAACTTTTAAAGACACAGTGACAGCTGTCAATATATATGTCAGAGAAAATATCAAAAATCACATTCAGAAATCACATCCACTTGGTCTCTTGTCCTACACGTCTACATCATTTCTGGGGGAAACCTGGAAGAGACATAGGGTAGCTATTATTAGATAATTATTGTACACTCTGTTCCATTTGTTCCAGGATTTATTTGGGGCATAAATAAGAACATAAGAACATAAGAGACGCCAATGTTGGATCAGGCCAAAGGCCCATCCAGTCCAACACTCTGTGTCACACAGTGGCCAGAAATACCAGTGCCATCAGGAGGTCCACAAGTGGGGCCAGGACATTAGAAGCCCTCCCACTGTTGACCCCCCCAAGCACCAAGAAGACAGAGCATCACTTGCCCCAGAGCCCCTAGCTATACCTTGTGGCTAATAGCCACTGATGGACCTCTGCTCCATATGCTTATCTAATTCCCTTTTGAAGCCATCCATGCTTGTAGCACCCACCACTTCCTGTGGCAGTGAATTCCAAGTGTTAATCACTCTTTGGGTGAAGAAGGACGTCCTTCACCCCTCAGTCGTCTTTTCTCCAAGCTAAAGAGCCCTAAGCGCTTTAACCTTTCCTCATAGGGAAAGTGTTCCAACCCTTTTATCATTCGAGTTGCCCTTTTCTGCACTTTTTCCAAAGCTATAATATCCTTTTTAAGGTGTGGTGCCCAGAACTGCACACAGTATTCCAAATGAGGTCTCACCATTGATTTATATAGGGGCATTATTATATTGGCTGATCTGTTTTCAATACCCTTCCTAATAATCCCCAGCATAGCATTGGCCTTCTTTATTGCAGTCACACACTGTCTCGACATTTTCAGTGAGTTATCCACTACAACTCCAAGATCTCTCTCTTGCTCAGTCTCTGCCAGTTCAGACCCCATCAATGTGTATTTATATTTAGGATTTTTGGCTCCAATGTGCATCACCTTGCACTTGGCCACATTGAACCCCATTTGCCATGTTGACGCCCACTCGCCCATCCTTGACAGATCCCCTTGGAGTGCCTCACAATCCTCACTGGTTTTCACCACCCTGAACAACTTTGTATCATCCGCAAATTTAGCCACTTCACTGCTTACTCCCATCTCCAAATCATTAATGAACAAGTTAAAAAGCAGTGGACCAAGTACTGATCCCTGCGGTACCCCACTGCTTACCACCCTCCACTGAGAAAATTGCCCACCTACACTCACTCTCTGTTTTCTATGAACTAGCCAGTTTTTGATCCATAAAAGGACTTGTCCTTCTATCCCATGATTTTTGAGCTTACTTAGGAGCCTTTGATGAGGAACTTTATCAAAAGCTTTCTGGAAGTCAAGGTAAATAATATCTATTGGATCCCCCTTGTCCACATGTTTGTACTCTGTAGCCTCTGTGCTCTCATCTTGACTCCTGAATAATGGCAGACAGGAAAGCAACTTGACTGCAGAGGAGAGAGAGTAAAATCACTGTAAGGTAAAGGTAAAGGTTTCCCTTGCTCGAAAGCCATTCGAATCCGACTCTAGGGTTGCGGTGCTCATCTCCGTTTCCAAGCCGAAGAGCCAGCGCTGTCCAAAGACATTTCTGTGGTCATGTGGCTGGCATGACTAAACGCCAAGGCGCACGGAACGCTGTTACCTTCCCACCGAAGTAGTACCTATTTATCTACTTGCAATTTCTTGCTTTCGAACTGCTAGTTTGGCAGGAGCTGGGGCCAGAGATGGGAGCTCACTCCATCATGCGGCACCTGGATCTCGAACTGCTGAATTACCGACCTTCCATAGCCTGCAGTTCAGCGTCTTCACCACTTGAGCCACTGTAGCTCCTCAAAATCACTGTAGCAGCCACCTAAGAAAGTATCAAACTGGCCATAGCAGGGTAATGGTGGTGGTTTTACTCCCCTTTCTCCACAGTTAGCTGAATTGGTCGTCTTTGAGGGCACCTTGACAACATTATCACCTGGCCTGATGTGCATCATGCTGAGACAAACTTTACATAATCTTGTCCATTTCTATCCAAGAGGGTATTATCTAATTCCCTTAAATAGATTGTTTCAAAGACTGTGCACAGTTTTGGGCGCTGATTTTGCATCTTGTGGTTTTCTCATCCCCCATTCTACCCAGGACTGTGTGGAAATTTCAATGATATAGAGACTGACGATTTTCGAACTATTAGTGGGATTGTGGAAGCTTCAGCTTCGGCATTTGGAAACTCATGGAAGACCACGGCCAGCTGTGCTGATGTTCAAGACATCATTGAAGATCCCTGTCTGAAAAGTGGGGATAAAGGTGAGACCACCAGCATTTCTTTTTAAGAGCATTTAATATTTTAGCAGTAAATACCAATGATGGTTTTATTCATTAGCAGGGTATTTGAATGATAACCATTGGTTCTCTGATATTAAGTGCCCCTATATCGGTAGAAATACATACAGATCAAATTGTGATTCTTTTAAAGTAAAGTTTTGAAAAAAACCCCATAAAATATTAAGATTCTGTAAGTCATTTTGAGGTATTTTCATTTTCTCTGTTAGAAAAATTTGGGAAGCGTTGGTGTGCCCTTCTGGCGAACCCAAGAGAGATATTTGCAAAGTGTCATGCAGTTATTGACCCTGCTCCTTATGTCAAGGTGAGTCATGGCTTTAATCATATTTTAAATAATCTAATATCAGGCAGACCATCTACTGCATTCTGACCAGGTAGGCAGTTATATACCTATTCTGCCACCTGTTTGACGGCCAGTATTCTGATCCAAATACAAAAATAATCGGTTAAGGAAGCACTATAACCTATTTTGCTCTGGAGGCTTTCTCCTCTGGTGCATCACAAATCGAGTGAGCCAACATAATCCATGGATCAGTGGCGCCAGCCCTACCTGCCTGGTCTATGAAACCACATTGGACATTCTGCTCTACAATCATCAGGTGCAAAGGAGGACTGTAAGGCTCCTGTGAACTTTTATGGTTATGTAGAGCTTATGCAGCCTTTAGAAAATTCTGAAATACCATCTTCTTCAAAATGATGAAAACTCGAGGATCACCCAATATAAAACTTTCTTCAGAACTGAAAAGGATGGATGGCAATCCCTGGTCGTGCAGATTTGTTGTTGTTGTTGTTGTCATTGTCATTGTCATTGTTGTCGTCGTCACCGCTGCCGCCGTTATCGTTGTTGCTGTTTATTATTGTTGTTGTTGTAGTTGTTGTCATATTTGTCATTATGATTATCAACAACAACAACTATAGACTGTGTGGCACTGTGGCATGCTTGCACTGCCACAGTGCCACTTGTTCTGGAGTTTGCCACTTGTTCTCATGGCAAACAAGCACCTCTCAAGACAGTTCACTTTCCCTGAGATTCTCTGGGAGAATTCTCTGGGATGAATTCTATGAGCGCCTGAACAGGGTTCCCACAGCCACTGTAATTGCATTCTCATTGTTTCCTATGGGGAGCTTTTCAGGAGGGCTGGAGTGGCTGTTTTTCAACCACATGTCACCAGAATTGCAGTGGAGCTAGTGCTGCCTACTCCTGTAAAGAACCATTGAGTTTCAGGGAGTCTGGGCCCAGGGATGAATACTACAATCTATTTATTTAATTTATTAGATTTATATACTGCCCTCCCCAATGGGCTCAGTACAACAGTTAAATATACAAATAAAACAATATTAAAATGGCCATTTACACATAAAATCATGCAATACCGTATAATTATAAAAGTTGTCAGATGACTAGTCAGAACAGGCCTGGAAAAATTGGGCTGAAAAACTTAGGACCAGAAAAGCTGGAGGGGGGGGGGGACGTCCACTGACCCAACCAAATGCCTGGCAGAAGAGCTCTGTCTTGCAGGCCCTGGAGAACTGCAATAAGTCCCACAGAGCCCTGATCTCACATGGGAGCTCATTCCACCAGGCAGGGGCCAGAGCAGAAAAAGCCCTGGCCCTGGTCAAGGCTAGCTGGACGTCCCTGGGGCTGGGAACCACTAACAGCCGTTAATTTGTGGACCATCTGGGGCTCATATGGGGAGAGGCAGTCTCGTAGGTATGCTGGCCCCTGGTCGTATAGGGCTTTAAAGGTAAGCACCAGCACCTTGAAATGGATCTGGAAGCCACTGAATAAGGTGCCCCAACTCTCTATTTGTTGCAGAAA